GGAGCCACGAGCTTGATTAGGCAGGAGTAGGGAATCCAGTGCTCAAATGGGAATGTTGTCCTAGCGCAATTCATTCAGTGACAAGGCAGGCAGAAAATGAACACATGCACAGATAGAAGAATGGAAGTCATGGGAATCTGTGAGGATCTTTTGTCTACTTTAAAGTTTCTTAATGATTATAACAAGCAAGGTCATCAGCTGAGAAGGAAGAGGTTTGAAGAGAGAAAGGGTATAGAACAAAACGAGTAGAGGAAATACTGGCTAGTGAGCAGCATTAAATACCCACCTATCAACAGACCAAAAACCAGTTTCTTGAGCCAAGTTCAGCTTTTCAGTGCAGGTGCACAGTGGAGCATTTTACAGCTATAAGAACGAGACAGCATTTGGATTTGAAAACAAAAAACTAAGTCATTAGGCTCTTTCCTTTCCATTGTTCAGTCAGTATAGCACAGTGGTTCTCAGAGTATGATCCCTGGGCATCAGCATCACCTGAAAACTTGTTAAAAATGCAAAATTTCAAGCCTTGCCTTACAACTATGAATCAGAATTCCGTGGGCAGGGCCCTACAGTCTATTTTAACACGCCTTCCAGGTGGTTCATGAACCATCTAAAAAATTAAGCCATGTTGAGAAAGGGTATCCTTTCATTAGCTATCTATAATACCTCTAGATCACTACAGCTTAAAATTGCTACCCTCTCACTACTTAGAGCAACGGATAAAATCCATGCAAAGCAAAAAAGTTCTCATTACTATCAATTCAGAACATCCGAATTCACCAAGCTGTCAAGATTCTTTTTAAAAAAATGATCAGAAATAAAACATCACCAACAGGTTTTATTTGTCACTGTGAAAAGTCTGAATTTCAAACAGATTCTTGGACTGGGGGCTCATATCCATCAGCTCGTTCAACTTTAGCGCCTGTCTCATCCCCAGTAGCTTTTCCAGAACTGCTACCTTCACCATGAAGCTCCATGAGTTTTCCCACTAAAAAAAGAAAACATTGTTATGGCATACGATACCTTGAAACAACGGTCTTCAATACTACATAGGCAGGACAGAAAAGAAAAAAAAAAATCTGCCTCCCCTAAAACAAACACCAAATAATGTATTTTGCCACATAATTTTTTCTTTCAGGAATCCTGTGATTTTTTTCACTTACATTCAAACTTGGGCTTCTTCAGCATTTTGACTTTTCTAACAAAGACATCATGGAGCGGATAAATAGATTGACAGGCCTTTTCTATGTCTTTTCCAATGCTATCTGGAATCCTGCAAACCAGTAATGATAGATTAGAATCAATCTACACATACAAAACCCCATAAATCTAAGATAGCCTACCATTACCCCTTTACAGGTGAAGGTGAAATGATCTGAAATATACAGCTAGTTAGTAGCGAAGTTTGCATTTGAGCCTTCTGAATCCAACCCTTATATGCCTTTTCCATTATACCCTTAGCCAACTGCATGGGAACATCAGAAAAATGTTTCAGTTTTATCACTGGACATCATATGGGACCGAAACATTTTGTCATCACTCATTCCCATACGTTATTGATTGTGGAGGATTTTGTCCCTTCAGTGCATTTTCTAATTAAGGCAAAGGCATTTCCTGTGCTTCGAGTCTCACTAAGTGCCATGAGATAGCTTCATCCAAAAAAAACGATAAAGAAGCCAAATCAACATTTACTGAGTACTCAGCATGCTTTGATTTCAAGGGATGTAGCCGGATGGTTTCACAGACAGGATTTAAGCACAGGTCTGACCCCACTTGTCTCATGCTTTCCCTCATCTGAAGGATAATCAGAGATTCAGGGTTGTGATATGTGAGGGAAAAGAAACACTTACAATTTATTGACTACTTCTTTCAAGTCATTTGTCTGCACCTCTCGGGTCATGATTTCCATCATCTTCTTCCGGATTTGGCGGACCTGTTGATGCTGAGCATAAGAGGTCTTCCGAATCTGATTGTTGCGTTTTTTAGTGAAACCAACACAGAATAGACGAAGCAAATAACCATCGGTAGTCTTGACATCCACATGAGCTTCAATCATGGTCTAGTGAAAAAGATACTTTCAGATATACCAGGTCTTAATGTTAACAATTTTTATCCCTCAAATTCTAATATAAAAAATCTAGATGGTCAAGTACTCATTTCACAATATAAAGTATAAAATAAATTACATGTCTAATTTACAGAATTAACTTCCTTGAAGTAAACTTAGCAGTAAGTTACCCCAAATTATTACTATCCTTCATATCCAATTAAGTAAGTCCTCTCAACGTCCTCCCTCCCTCTCTAGGAAACGTCTCTATCCCCATTATCACTGGCAACAGCACCCACCCTGCACCTGCACCTTTTACATATACATGCCAGCCTTTAACATCCTGCCCCTCCCCCAATCTATTGTACCCCTAACAAGAGGAAAACAGGTTCTATGAGACTATACTATGGACATCTACATTTATTCCATTTTTTTAAAACTGTGTTCTGAATAGGTGAGATACTGCTGTAATAACACTAAATGTATGTACTTTTAAATGTCCTTTATATTCCAAACTAAAGCCATGCTGAGGATTAAATATGCAATTTGACAGCTGAAATATAATTTAAAAATCCGTAACAAATCATTACTGCCTAAATTAAAAACAAAACCATCTTAGTAGCAACAAAAACTGAATTGCCTCCTTTGCATTTTGTAAATTTTATCTGTTAAAAAAAAATTAATATGATTACAGCAAAAGGACAGTCCCAGAAATGCAACCATAAAACCTTAAGGAGAATGTCAGAAATGTAACGATATATCAGTATATATCATCTGGGACTGAAACATTTTGTCATCATTCACTTCCATAAACAAAATATCCCAAAACTGGATGATTAGCCAGACACATCTGAACCAATACAATTACTTCCGCAATAATACTGTTTACTGAATGCATCTTTTATTTCAGCCTCGTAACTCCATGAGATGTTACTCTTACCTACATTTCAAAGCTTAGTAAGCTTCGGTTTCAGTTAATCGCCAAAGAGAACACAATTGGAAAATGGAGGCAAATTTCAACTTCACACCACAGGCCCTGCTACTCCTATTATCCTATATTGCTAGAGTAATCAGGAATAGCCCAAACTACTGTTTCACTTTAAAATTCACTAGATTTTGAAGTCGAAATATTCTGAAGACAGGCAAAACTGCAAACGTGTATCTAGACATTCTTCAACCAGCCACTAATCTATGCAGCAAAAACTAATTTTGATAACCCAATATTAAACCTTGAATAATTTAAATAAATAGAAGGATCATGGCTTGCTCACTGCTGTTGCTCAAGTTCAAAGATTGCCAATCCCAGAGTCAGCACTCAATAGGACGAAAACATCAAGGATTTAAAATGAAATCTAAGCCTCAATTGCACGATATGCTCCTTGTCATTACATTATGACATGGCATTACACCTTGGTCAAGCAAGCCACACCACCATGTACGCTAAGAAACCTTGTTCTCACCTGCCATTTTTTGACCATGGAGCACATTTTGTCACGGGTAAGATCCATGCCATGGAAATTAGTCAGGCAGTTTTTGCCCTGAACATCCTCGGTTATTAACTTGAATTTTCTAAATGCAACTTCATCATTCTGCAGATCAGCTAGGCTCACTTCAAAAACACGACCCTTGAGACCATCAGATGCAATTT